CACACACACACACACACACACACACACACACACACACACACACACACGCACGCACACACTATACTTTTTCTCCGTTTCTCAGTCATAACTTCACTTATAATAATCATAATATAATAGTATAATGAACCAACTGTAAGTTTTAAGCCATAATACAAACGTATTATACGAGTAGTACGTAATTCTCACGATACATTCAATTTAACTGCTATATGATATATAATACTCGAATACTGTATAGACCGCACGCAGTGTGATATATAATTTACAACCCCGTTCGCGGGTTGACATTATATTGTGTGTGTGTGTGTGTCGACTGCCGTGTAGCGGCCGGTGTGAAACGATAGACCACTGAAAAGACGAACGGGATTAATGATCTCTGATTGTATGTACAGTATAAACCCTAAAATGCCAAAAAGACGTAGGCGACAACGGTATATCGTAAATTCACATACATACACAAAATCTCCGTTACTTATACGCGTACGAATTGTGTGTGTGTGTGTGTGTGCGCGCGCGCACGCGTATACGTATGATTTGGTGTAAAAGAGAGTATTTAGATAGGGAGAGGTATTTCGACATAACGTACAAATATATGTATATATATTTTATGTTCGTATGCCACAGCCGCGTCGGGAAATTAATGACAAAAAGCGCTTTACGCCCAATTGGCACGGATAGTTAAACTTACACTCACGAGAGTTTGTCAGACGTCAAAATACCACCGATCCTTATTCGCCTACCATCTCTCTCGCCCTACGTACTCATCCGTTCGTTTTACTCTGTAGAGAGAGAGACAATGAGTGAGTGAAGAGCATAGGGGGAGGGATCTGTTTTGAGAGAAACTTTATGATTAGTTCGCGTGCCATCCGCCGCCGTGGGAATATTCTTTTTTTCTGGTCGATAGGTTGGTCGGGAATCAGCGACGGCTACAGAGCCGGATATTATATTAATCCTTAGAGTTTTATAAAACGTTCGGTGAAGCGACGTCTCACGCGACGCACCGGTTAAACGCGGTTTGGATACGGAATCGTGGAGAAAGTTTTCTTCGCGCTACCACGATTTAATCCATCGCGTTCGCTTTCTCCGCTGTCATCAATTCTATATGGTAAAATATTATACTATACATACAAAATATGCCCAGCTGATATTATACGAATAGGTTTATATTTTTACGTGGCATTAGTGATCAGTTGTATTACGTACTTTATCGTTGGTAGATAATATGTGCACATATTATCTACGTCAATTGTAGTAAATTTCTTCGAGCGTATGGTTCCAAGTTAGCGAAAACTTCATATGTAAATTAACTATGTTCACATTGTGGTTTTATATTAAGTACAGTATTGAAATTCTTGAAAACGTTTCAGCTACGATGAAATACCCTATTTTTATGTACGGGATTTTCGAGATTTTATATGAACTTTAAAACAAAATATAATTAACGAGTAGTAATTGTGAAAAACGTTTACCATTTATAGTTACCTATATTTTCAGTACCTAGATAATAGATTACGGTACATACATTTTAACAGATTTGCATGTAATAAGAAAACTTCAATAATACGTAACCATAATAAGACTAAATATTATTTAACATTCGAATCTGGCTTTAACCAAAAATTGAACTTGAATGTTGATTGATTTATTTAAATTTTTTAATATACTAAGAGTTCAAAAATATATCCTTTTTTTTTGGTAATTCTTGTGTATTAAACTCAACCGAGATAAGTATATGCTTTATAAATATTTGACAATTGTATTCAGTACTGTAGTCTGTTCGAAAATTATTTATAATTTAAATATAAGCTTTATTTTCGTTAATTTTTATACGTTTATCTTTATTTAAATCTACTTACATATTTAAAAAGTCATTACGTGACAAACATTCGTCCAAATATGAAACATATTATATCGGCGTCATAAGAAAAAATAATTTAAACTTGTAAATAATCTTAAAAGAAAACTCAAATTTCAACTAGATGTGATGATAAAAGTAACAACATCGCAAAAATCAAGTTTACTAGCATCATTTTCTATTATATTTAATAAAATAGCAAAATCTAAGAAGTTTAATGAAAAGTGATGGTGAATTTGTTAAAAACTGTGCAGTAAAAATGGCTAAATCAATAAATGAAAACAAAATTACGTATGAATTTCACTTTCAACACGCACTGTGACACGTCGTATAACTGACAATAATAGTACAATTTGTAAAACATAGGAAACTATATGACAAATTGCACATATTTTTCAATAGCATTGGACAAAAACACAAATTTTTAAATATAAGACAAGTCAACTATTAATATTTGTTAGGATTAATTTTGTTTTGTTGTTGTTTTTTTTTTTTTTTGGTGGGTAGGGGGGTAGGCGCAGTTTTTATAATATTTGGCGATCGATTAAATTAAAACACGATAATAGGATAATAGTATTATTGCAAAAAAGGTAGATAATACACGTCTTTTAGATCCCCGCTAATTTCGTCATTATCAGGCTACCAAACAATTCTAATACGTTAATTGTACAGCTACAACACTATATTTCTTATACGAAAAATACGACACGATCATTAATAGAATTGTAATGTTGCATGTTACAGGTGACGGAATCATTCCACTGACAGTACCCACACAGACGCCGGACACGTGTTACCTGCAAACGCTAACTGACTGCGTGAATGGTACGACAAATTGCACACTTCAGACCACATCACGATTGCGGTTGGTAGGATCGGTGCGTGACGTAGTCGTGCAGACTTCCAGCAAGTTTTACAAGCCCGGCGAGACCAGTGAGTGATATAATATTAAATACATTGTAACGTATTTAATATTTAACTTAAACATTTTTTTCTCAACCACACATTGATCGAACCGTTTTAAAAATCGCATATGATTTAATTATATTACCTGGATAATTAATAACTCAAATAAACATATACCATATTATACCAGGCATACATAATTTTATAACTTACAGTATATTAAAGTTGCGTAAATAATTAATGTTTCAGATGTATTTCTATTACGTACTCATACAATACTTACATATATAGTCTTGTGTTACAATAAAAATATTAAATGGATACTAATATTTCAAATCCAATTTAACAACTGACACAAAACGTACTGATAATAATTTTCTAAGCTTCGGTGAAGTACCTTTATTTGTTTTATTTTCACTTTGGCGCAGTGTTTTCTTATCTATTTTAAATTCTGATAGAAACGAATAATGCATGTAGTTGTGTATAAAAAATAAAATAGTTACCTTTCTGCTAAGTAAAATAGCAAGCGCATAACGTATTTAAGTTGTATCGCTCAAAATATTCGTATAATTTAACTTAAAATTAAAATACAGGAAGTAATTCCTATGAACCTTCGTTGTATTCAATCATCAATCTAAATACAAAATAAAACAATACATTTTTATTTTTAAGAATTAAAACGTATTATTAAAATTAACAAAATAATACCAAATTACATCTACTCATAAACACATTATAAACTACTTTTCAATAATATAAAATACAGCTTAAGTACAATTGCGTATTATACGAATGTGGTTAAATTGTATTAATCAAAGATAAGCTGGTAATGAAATATTAAAAAATATGTCCGTGCTAACAATATTATTGAAGCTTTGTACAATACAATAATATGTTTAAAAATAAAAATATAAAATCGCTCACTACATATTTTAAGTAAAACAAAATTACTTTAAATTACCCCATACATACTTAAACAAAACACTCTTTATGTAATGTAAAGAGTATATGTGTGTGTATGTGTGTATATATAAAACCCCATTTTGTATTATAAATTTCCACATGGAATTAAATATATTATATTCTTTTTTCATATCGTGACATTCTTTTAAAACATCCAGTTAAGTCATACAAATTATGTTTTACGGAAGTAACTACTGAAATCTAAAAGAAAGGAACAAATATTTTTTCAAACTTAAGTATTTTTGTTAAATTCCTCGTAAGATCTTAATATAATCCACTATTTATTTGAATTCAAATAATCATTCATGTGACTCTCTCTCACACTTTTGGCTCAATTCCCAGATATAAAAACAAAAGCATTTACCATGTTAAATAAAGAAAACAGCAAACGGATATTGTGAATAGCCTTAAAGATTATTAAAGCTGCTTTTGTAAATAAGAGCTGGTCCCGAGCACAGTATTCAAAAGCATCTGACATTTGTTTGTCCTATACCCGTGGGGTGCCAAGTGTATAAGCCCCAAACAAATGAGAACACTATGCGTGAGCTCGATTTTAATGGGTTTAATGGAAACGTTTATTTTATCTTTTATCAACTTTAATTGTATTCAACCTAAAATTCTATACAGATTTAAAAATTAGCTTTTTCATACATCTCTTAATTAAATCATACACTAACCATCACTTACTTGTTATAACTTATAAGTCCTATATAACTCTTTAATCTCAGTTATTAATTGTCACATTTGATGGTTTAGTCCCAAAATATGGCATTCTATCACACATTAAAATTAAAACATTAGTATAATGATACTGTAGGGTAATTACACAAAATATTCTGGTCATAAAATAATAAGAATTAACAATACATGCTCTATAATAACAATAGAAGTTATCATGACAATACATGCAAATACATTAAACACTACGGTTTTAAAAATTTCATCAATATAAATTTTAAAGGAGAATGGTTAGAAAAATTGTATAGTTTTATTATGACTTTTACAAAATGTATGTTCTTTTTCTTTTTTCTTTTTTTTTGTTCAATTAATTTATGTGATTAATTACTATTTGTGTAATATTAAATTTAATTCAAAGAGATAACTAATGCATTTATCTTGTTCGTAATTAGGTGAAATGTCCATTTAACTTTTAGAATCTAGAATGACCTATATTTATTAATCTATATTTTTGCCTAAAAATAACATTTTATACCAAATTTATTTTGTATGAATATCAAAACCAAAGTTATAAATTTAATTAAAAATAAAACTTATAGATTTATGAAAACGTACAAAAGCTAATAATAGTGATTAGAAAGTTTACTTCTATCATAAAAATATTTTTTTGTAAAATATGTACAAAACATCTTTTCATGGTTTAAAATATTAATTGATCTACTATATAGTAGGCATATTATAATATCAAAATTCACTCTAAGTTATTTAAAAGGGAATAAAATACCTTATTTTTAGTTCCCGATTGACTCAAATTCGGTAGGCTGACCAATATTTCACTTTATGGCATCACTTAATTCTGAAAAGGTCTAGTATCAAACTATATTTATATTATAAATCTTTAATGAAAATCGATTAAAAAAATATGAACGTGTTTATTTTACTAACATTTAGCTTTTATTTTACAAACCAATGTGGACAGGTTCATGCCATTGTAATACTTAAGTACCATTTCTGAAGTAATCAATACACTATAATACATATTTTATTTTATTTGTTATATATTATTCTAGAAATCGACTTACAGATAGTTTGCACGTTAAGACAATGTTAGGTTACTATATACTATACCGGGCAATACTTGAATTTTTTTAATTTACACACATATTATAATTCAATACGCGAATTTAATTATTTTAGAAGCGCATAAATTCACTGCCAAGAAATCTATGATTAATATTGGTGAAATTATGTGCGTCTTAACTCTTAATATAACGCATCACATCATCGACTCGTAATTCACGGGAAATAAAGCGACGTTTTTTGTGAGACCGGAAATGATGTAACCCGCTCATAAAATCTTTTATTTGGTTCAAATATTTTAAGTGGCAATATTGATACGTATAAGAATATTTTTACTGGAATTTTATGGTTTTGAATTTCATCATTGATAATACACGTACTTATAAAAGATGTTATAAAAACTAATGATACGAAGAATACAAAAAAAATGCCAATCATCATATCCGTTTTTCCCAGACATTTATATTACACGATACTTTCTTAAGAATCCAACGGAAAATTTGGAAAAATAAATTAGCAACCATCGTTTTCTGTTAAATCTTACCAACGATGAAAAATTTTATAGTCCACGCTATTATGTATACATACATTATAACGAATCCAAACTACAACTGAGATGACTAATTTTATACTGGAAGTAAATAAAATAGATCAAGATATGGTTTACACTACTCACTAGTAAGTAACTACGAAATTTTTTACTGTTCTTTTTAATGATATTTGTACAAATAATTTTCATGTCGCTATTTGTGAGTAAGTAGTTATAATTTATTTTATCTATTCTCAAATATGGATAATTACAGATAGTGACTGGTTTTCGTTTGATTCTGTTAAGCTATATTCATTAATTAAATCTGTTTTTATTGACTTTCATCGTCAGATTTAATTTGCGACGATCTGTCGAGCCCAAAAAATGTCTTTATCAAAATATGATAAATAAGTAATACTCTCTACACTCAAGAACACGACATTTGATACTGAGGTTACTCCTATTAGAGACAAAATATAGTTTTGTACAAAACCACAATATTTCAGTGAAACAACTCTTGCATAATGTTTGTATTTTCAAGTCTTGTCATTTTCTGACTAAAGAAACGAGTTTCTCGAGGATTATGAGTAGAGAGAAGTACACCAAAGTAAGTCTTAATTGAAAAGATTTACAATCATCATGTGACTCGTATTTATAATTCCCAGATTTTTCGTAACTAACACGTTATTTAGCATTTATATTTTGTAATTGTGCATAAACGCGGCTCATTTAATCTTCATATAGGTTTGATAAAATCCAAATGAAACACTATATAAAATAGTAATGTAGCTATTAGTTCTTAAAAAGTAGTCCCTAAACATTAAGTATATCTGTATACTAAATAGGTTTAGCCGATTAGATGTACTTAAAAATCATCAAAACATACATATATTATACATGGAGACCAAAGCCATATATATATATAGATGATCCTAAAAGGGAGAACGAGGGTGATTGCCCTAGATAAAACTTTTTATATTATGAACATACTCACGTTTATAATTTGTTGTAAGTTTTTAACAAATATTATTATCTTCTAGAAGTTTTTTTATTAATCTCTTCACTGCACACCAGTCATGTAACAACAAACTAAAAAACATTATGTCCCGAAGGCCTCAATCATTATCCTTAATAAAAATCATGAGGAATAAAATGTGTTTACTTTTCTCTGTTGATTTTGTTTTTTATATATTTCATTATCTAACATGTATGAATATAATTTTTACTATCAAAAAAATAAACATTTACCAATAAAACAAGGACAGAGGATGACAAATAAATGATCATAAATATACATTTGTTTTAATTTACTAAACATGACAAAAAATTACAAACAACTACATATAAGTGACTCGTGTTTCTCTCTATATCCATTGAGGGATCTCAATATTTTCATTTCTATTGAAAAATATAATATTAGGTAGCTAAATAATACGATAATAATCAATAAAGATGTATTGAAGTATCGTAACATAATAATAATCATGACAAATTCTAATTTGTTATGATAATAATAACAAAAAAGAACATATAATAATATTTTACATTAAATAATTATTTTATATTTTATGTGTGTATTATGTATACATATTCTGTGTTGAGCATTCACTGTATCACTAATTTCATAAACTAAACTTGTCTGTAGATTAATGTAATTAACAAGTTTCATAAATACATACACACTACATAGTATCTTTAACAACTGCAAATTCACTAATCAGTGCCAAAGTTCATATAATTAATTTCATTATGTTTTATTCAAGACAAATTTCTTAGAATTATTTCGATATAAAAGTAAAAACGTTTATACTACAGTTAAATTGTGCAAATCGTATTTCAACTTTTTGATAAATTAAATTCAATTAAAATAAATTACATGTAGAAAAACAAATTCCTATTCAGGACATCACTATAAGAAACACTTTAAACACTTTTTCATATTTTAAATACTCTCATAATTATGTAATTTTAATTTTTAAATTATGTTAACATAACAAATTTTAATATAAAATACATTAAATAGGTATTATAAAGCTATGCAAATTAATAATTAAAACAATTTTAGGTGTTGCAACTTATTTCTAATAGAAATGAATAGCTACTAATAAATAGTATATGATAAATACTATGATAGTTTACTACTTTAATACGGAAAAAACACAATGGTTTAAAAAATTTAATTTTTATATTGTTATAATTAATGTCACTTAAAAAAAAAAAAAAAAAAACAGAATAAAAAATTGTGAACCTAAATTAAACTATAGGTAAATTTAAAAATGGTTAAAATATTGATATTTAAGGTGGAGGAGGAATAAAAGCATTTCTAACTTCTGAGATAAAATTAAATAGATAAATAAAATATATGGACGCATAAAGTTTAGCAATTTTATTCATTACCGACACTGCAGTCGTGTGATAACATAAAAATCGTTTTAAATAAATTTAAATTAACCATTAACACATATAATTTAACTATAAACATTTAAATATTAACTTAAATGAGAGAATTTGTGTAATTTTATTCATTTATTTATTCATTTATATTCTATATTACACGTAATATTAAACACTTAAATCTTAAAATAAGACTAAAATATTTCCAAAAATAATGATGGGAACTTTTTTAAACTAAAATTAATGTTAAACGATTTATTCTTATAATAATAAAAATATTGATTCATCAAATATTTATGTAGAGAAAAAATATTCTTTCATTTATTTTATAAATTCATTGTATAAGCCTAAATATGTTTCATATTTTATTAGACGCACAAAGCAAGTGTTTTAATTTATTGTTTATTAACTTCTCATTTTTAGTTGAATTTTGGCTTCTACCATTGGACCATTACCTTCGAATCGCTGAAGATGTCACTATGGACGTTTACATCAAAAATCCTAAAGGCACACGTGTCGCACTTTGGGATGACGTTCCATCGACTCGCAACACTCCGTTCAGCTTCATGTTATCTGAACTGGCTGTCGTTGGAGAATGGACTGTTGAGGTGGCCTCTGAAGGGGTGACATTCAAAACGGCAGTGAACGTGAGTAATGCAAGAGGAGCAACTGATCCACCAAAACGAGAACAGACGATAACCGAAGAACATTTCGTAGAGTTACGATTTGGACATGAAATGAGACACAAATACAAACCTGGATTACCTTTCCTCGGAAAAGTTAGTATTGTTAATATATTTTTCTATTTTAATTGTACACAGAATTTAATTTTTAATAAAATAATTACTGAAAATAAAAAATAAGCATTTATCTCTAAAACGCTCAATTAAAACCTATATTGATTAAACTAGTCCATAGTTTATATTTTAATCAAAACGATTATAGATAATACAATTCGTATTTTGTTTTTAATTTTAAAAATATTTAATATATTGACAGGTAGAAGCTATGAGTTCAGAAAAGAATCTTCGAGTTCGTGTAAAGGTATTTGACAACTCCACTACAATATATAGCCAAGACGTTGAAATAATTCAAGGCGAAGGAACATTCGTTGTTCCAGCTATATTATCTGACAATGAAATAATTGTACTTCAAGTTAGTAGAATAGTTTAAGTATTATAAATAATTTATTTTCAGAATTTGCTTATTTTTAGTTTTTAAACGTTTTTATGTTATACATTTTACCATACACAATATTTTTTAATTAATTTACAACTAATAAAATAATGTTAATATTTAATAAATATTAAACAAATTGTATTTAGTTACAAAATATGTAATAAAATAAATGTTTTATTTGTAAAAAAAAATCATTTAAAAATGTTAAAAAGTACAAAATAATATAATATACGCAAATTCATTAGCTCATATGATATTAAAATAATTGCTTTAAATTTACAACAGGCTGAATTAGTATCCGTTGAAGGTAAAGAAATCGAAGGACACTACGTATTAGCTAAAGAGTTTATACAAAAATGGAACTCAACATCAGATTGTTACTTATTAGTCGAAGGAGTAGAACATACTTTAACGGTAATAAAAAATAACTAAATTAATGCGATAATTATAGTTTTAATTATTACAAATATTAATATAAATTAACAAAATTCTTTCGGTTGTACTATATTATGATGATTAGGCTAACGAAGAAGCAGAAGTGGTTGTACTATCATCGTGTCCATGCAACCGATACGTTAACTATGTTGTGACCACCGAGGGGCACGTAGCTATTTGGCAAAAATATAAGCCAGTGGTCCACATGACAAAAATTATGGACCAAGTGGACATTTGTCGATTCAATTTAACGTATGTTGCTTTCCATTCCGTAAAAATAAAACCAATATAATGAATACTAATTTATTTGACTTATTATAATATAGATTCAGCGTAGATCCTGTGATGGCACCCACAAGTCATTTATTGGTTTACTATACAACCGAAAAAGGAGAAACAATAAATGATGTAATAAGTTTCAACGTCAAACAAACTGACCCAAAGGTACAATTGTATTTAATGTGAAACATAAATTGATAAACAATCATAAACTAAAAAGGCTGGTTTAAATTAGGTAAAAATTAGTTTGAAGGATAATAAAAGTAATTTTTATCCGGAAGAATTGATGGAACTGAATTTAATGGCCGAAGAAAATTCATTGGTATGTTTAATTGGAGGCAGAGGGACAGAAAACACATCTCCGTTAAGGTTAGTTTTACAATCATAAGTCTCTGTTAAAATATATTCTTATTTACGTAAAATTCTGGACAAAAGGAATATGGACGATGACACTGACCTTCTTGAATCCGGATTATTATTCCTTGAAAAACGATTAGATGGAAAAGTGACGACTTCCAGACAAAGCGATCTTTATCCAAGACATCATAGCTTTTTGGATACATTTTCGATGGATCAACTCTGGACATGGAAATGTGTAAACTTTACGTGAGTTATTATTATAAAAACAATATACAATTAAAATATAATTAAAGTAGAATAATATTTAAGTTATAATTTAAAGTTTGGATTTTATTACTAAAAATTATTGAAATATTCATTGTAATCATATGAACTAAACATTCTTACAATAAGCAACACAACGCAAAAAAAAATCCAAAAAAAAGTATTAAAATTAAATTATTGTCGTTATTATTAATTAATTTAACTATATACTAAAAATATAAAAGTAATTTTTATCTAATAAATAACCAATATATACGTAAATTAATGAAGAAAAGATTTAATTCATCCTAAATAATTAATTTATTGATTAAATATTCTACTTAATGAAATATAGGTGTTATGTTTATCTGTTTACACAACTCATTTTATTGTTCTACTATTTTCACTTAAAGTACAAAATTAATTAAAAAAACAAAATAAATCAAATTAAAAACATATTAATAGTACCTACCAAAATTAGAAAATAACGCAAAAATCAAAAATTCTTAAAACCATAAGCACTATAAAATTGTATACATGAAAAGATGGAAATCTTGATATTATATAGATGTATAGCTTATTCTGCAATTTTTTGTCTGTATTCCATAATAATTAGCAAACTCGACAGAATCGAAGTCTTAATTATATGACTATTTAATAAAAAAAAAAATGAATCGATTTACATAAACGATATATAATATAAATACAGTATCTAAACTAAAGTATTATGAAAAACATTCTTTTACTACTTTTAAATGCATAAAAAGTAACAAAAAATAAAAAAATAAAGTACCAACATACGAAAAGCATAATATGAATTGTTGTTTGCAAAGTGTTTAAAACCGCTGCAATCAGCTTTAGAATAAGATGCTAGAAAAACTTTCATTGGATATATTTTTAAGTCTAAAATGTTTTTGAGAATAGCCAGATGGCCACAATTTATATAGCCGTACACAACTGCACGACTTATGTGAACTTTAAAAGATTAAATAAAATAGTTAGTATAATCATATTAATAGACTTTGGTAGTAGTTAAAAAATAAATTTCTCGATAATATTTTTATTATTATAAAAATGTGACTTATGAACTCTATTTACGAATAAAACAGTATTATAAATTCATAATGTTTAAAATATGATTTGACACTAATAAATCATAAAAAAAATACATATATATATATATATATATATATATATATATATATATATACTCGTATATTGAGGTATTTATAAAATATTATTTTAAGTGAAAAAATATTTTTTCATAGATTAATTTTTAATAGTTTACTACTTTTACTTAACAGGAGCGATGTCATGAAAAAAGGTATGAGCATTCATGCACCATCCAAAGCCGGACATTGGAAATTGCGCATGTTAACTATTGGTAGCAGTGGACTTAAAATCACAGACACATTAGATGTCAAAGTCACTAGCACTTTGGAAGTGGACGTTCGTACGCCAGTTGAGTTAAACGTCGGCGAAACCGTCCAGACAGATATTTACGTCGCTAACAATGTCAATTCTTGCATGGACGTAAGACACATACATACATCTAATACCAATATCGTGACCATAGCCATATTTTTATCAACATTAAAAGCAATAATAAAAACGTTTTAATACAGGTAAATGCGCTCTTGTCGTTGAGTGAAGGAGCTGTATTTAGCAGTTCCAATCAACCGTTTGTCGCAGAAAAAATGAGATTAGGTGCTTACGGTGCCACATCGTTAATCGTTAGAATTACAGCATTGAAAGAAGGATTAAAAAATCTTACTGGTAATTAAACCAAACGTTTCCGTCGAAAAAAATATAATTTATTTCACTCAATTGTTTATGCCACCATAATATTATACTATATAAATTCGCTTTTTAATAGATACAAAATTATAAATATTATTCGTAATTTTTGCAGTGGATATTTCGGGTTACGTGAGCGAAAAATGTCACTTAATTAACGATAATAAGAAATCAGAAGATCCTGAATTGAGCAATTCAACCGCCAGTGTCGTCGTAAAGTCCGTACCAATCTACGTACATCCAGAAGGCATTCAACATCAAACCACCGACAACGCTTATTTTTGTGCCAACGGTGACAACTGTTTTCTTTTTTAAAATAATTTATTATAACGACCGTTCGCTAAATGTTTTAATCCATGTATAGAGCAACTCATTGTGTCAACGACAACGGATTTCCGGTACCAACACATAAATGCACCTAAGAACCGAGACGGTATTGTATTCGAAATACAAGCGAAAAAAAGTGCTCACATCTTATTGAGTCAAGAACGCAAACCGACAACGTTAATGTACCAAATTGTACTAGGTGACTTGGACAACACAATTTCGTGGATAGGTCGCGGAAAACACGGTAAACATAATTTTCAAAATTTTAATCAATCGATCAATAAGTGACCGTAATAATACCAATACCGTGAAATGGTTGTTTTCTTAATTTCAGGAAACGGAGTACATTTAACAAGTCGTAACACTCCTGGGATTCTATCTGAAGAAGAACCGCGTACATTTTGGATCAGCTGGGAGAAAGGAGTATTGGCATTTGGTTATGGTCAGGAAATCCATCAGTATCCATTACTAAAATGGAATATGGATAAAAAAATAAAAATAAATCATATCGGTTTCGCCACTATTCTTGGCACTACCGGGCAGTTTAGAGTATGGAATTACAACGACGAAGCCGGTTTCTCACAAGTACTACATTTAGAAACACCCAACACGATGATATCGGGATCTGAATCTGGTTCATTGGTCGTAACCGGAGGTCTTAATTTTCCATTTTTCGTGCAGAATGAGCCTAAATTTTCCACAAGGTATATAAAACACACAAAATATAATTTTGAACACCACGTTTAAGATGAACCTATTATTCGTTTAGCTTGGTATCGTTCCTTTCAACTTTCACTCCTCTTCTCATGTCAGAGCACAACAATAACGGCACTGAAGAAAAGTCATTGGTAGATTTATTATCGAAGAGCATACCGGTACTTCTTTCATACCAGAATTCAGATGGGTCGTTTGGAGATCACCCAAATGTACCATGTTACTGGTAAATTACAAAAGTAGTCATTACACTTGATATAGATTATATTATATTTTTATACATTTTTAGGTGTGATATTCGCGTACTTGAAATATTATGGAGAAGTCAATCTCACATTGGTGTAGATTCAGATCTAATCAAAGGATTAAAAACGTGGATCCAAAAGCAAGTTTTTGAAGATTTTTCAACTGTTGTTGGTCAATCTGACATAAATGTAAAACAAATAATATGCGCGGCTGACACTTTGGCCACTCTAATGGAATTGGGCATAGAATCGGAAGTATGTGTAAAATACCTATAATATTAATATGATATCTAACAAACCGATATTAATTTATTAATATATATATATATATTATATTTATTTTAAATTTAATTTTAACAGATTGATTCGAAAATTGCAAATCACACCAAATCATATCTTGAACAACATTTAGATAATATTGTCAAACCATATCCACTTGCTATAACAACTTATGCGCTAATGATTTCAAATAGCTATCTCACAAAAAAAGCACTAACAAAATTACAAACTCTATCGACAAACCAAGAAAGCGAATTTGGATGGCCTAAAGTACATCCCACGTCCGATTGGTATGACGACGTAGTCCCACAAAAAAAAGGTGAAAACAGTGAGTGATAATATAATAGCTTTGAATCTTTAACTACAGAAACCTTATTAAAATTCAAAACCATATTACAGTTTCGGTTGAAGAATTCAAAGCTTCGTTGTATTGTTTAATGATCTATTCTGCAAAACGAGAATTGAAATCATCCGAACCTATAGTCCGTTATTTATACTATAGAACTAAAATCTTGGATATATATCCAGAGGTATGTATCACAGTGTGGAATTTAAAAATAAATCACGTTATTAATTATCATTTTTTCCATTATAGTTAGCGTATCTAGCTGTAAAAGCATTTGCTATGTATGATAAAATTGGATCGGATCCTCACCGGAAATTAACAATTTCCCTCGCTACTTCCGGTATGGAATTGACCGATACGTTAGAACTTGACCCCAGTACAAAATCTCAATACTTACATTTACCTTCTTTGCCAACAAAAGTTTTCGTTTATGCTACCGGAGCTGGATGCTCAACAATACAAGTATGTACTTTTTATTATCTTAAATACAACAAATATGATATTTATAATTTAATTTTAATTTTAAATAATATTAAAATTACATTTCTGCAAACCCAAACATTTTATCTTTACTTTTCTTAAGGAAATTTAAACAATACTTAATATTTTTATATCTAACTACCTAGTAGATTTAATATTTTTATATTAATAAAAAATAACTATTATATGTCAATGGTCTATATAGTATAGTTTACAATTTATTAATTATTAATTTTTTCCAAGATGAATTTATTAATTATTTATAAATTAGTATTTTAATATTTTATTAAGCATAATTAATAATCTATTATGATTAAAATATAATATAAATATGATTAAATCTAGACTTAAGGTGGATTATAGAATGTAATGTATTAGTATGATAAAAAGAATGTTTATAGTGTTTTTATTACCCTTTACATATAACTTTATAAGTAAAAATTATATTCACAGCTATTCGAGTAGAGTTAGTTGAAATTTTGATTAAAAATAATAATTTAAAATTTAAGTTATTAGATACAAGACCTTGTTTTTATATTTATTTTGCCTTTAACTGAAAACAAAAAATAAGTATTATTTATTTTTTAGGGAAGAGTTTTATATTCTACTTATACTACTGCAGAAAACGATAAAAAACTGTTTGATCTATGGTCTGGAGTTACTGACGTTATTCAACCAAGTAAAGGCTTTACAGATGAAATATACGGACATGCAATAACATTAAGATTAAAAACATGTTTTAGGTATGTTCGATTATTCAAAATAAATTACTTATAATTGTTTTATTTATCTTGCTATTGTTAGAATGAATAACGAGTCGGAAGATGCAATAAGATTAGAAGTAAAACTCTTCTCGGGATACTCCTTTGACAAAATTTCATCTGCTACCGTATCAGATGTCCATCACGACTCGCATTCAAATCATATTTGGTTTGTGTTTGCTAAGGTACATTTTCTAACATAATACATACATAACAATTGTTGACTAATTTTGTATCGATTAAAACTGATTGCAAATGAATTTAATTGCAGGTAAAAAGTAATTGTGTGATTTGCGTATCTTATACGGCCAAAAGCATCCAAAAAGTGACCGGTTTACGACCAGCGGTAGCAAAAGTGTACGCCGTATCCAGACCAGATCAGAGCTCTTACAAATTATTCCACGTAGACGAAGAACAGAATCCGTTGGCTGAAGGTTTGACCGATATGCAAATCGCAGACTGGATAACTAACGATTCCAACGGTACGTGTACATATGAGCAACGACGATATAATATAATACCTTTGTATTAATTACTTTTTATCGATTTTTCGTTTAGACTTTCCGGTCGATAACAACAACCCATGCAAATGCAATAATCACTGCGAACCATCTACGACGGAGAAAACGATCGTTGTGTCGACTACGTTGAGTACCCCTTATCAAAGACCGTCAACTCATGCTGTCACTTCTTCCACTACAAAAGAGTTGACAACAGAAGGAACACCAGCAGCGACTCGGTCAACAGAAGCGGAAGAAGTTCTTTCAAAACCAAGAATCGCAACGATCCCGACGAAAATCAAACGAGCGCCTGTGAAGTCGACCGGCAATGTGGTACGCAACATGAAAAAACCCAACAAGAAAAACGAAAAAGATAAGGACTCCAATTCCAAACACAGGACAAGTGACAGCGGACCCGACTCAAGTGATCGTGAACCCGTGCCATCGAAAGATACTATCAATACTGATACTGGGGCAATTACCAAAATGGCCCAAATGAATACAATGAGAAATAGCAAGCCGTCGACCATCGGAGGGTCGACAGCAAAACCAACGACAACGACAAAAGTCACAACGGCACGCGGATCAAATGTGACAACGGGAGGTACGACAGCGCGAGCAACCACTTACTCCGCGTCAACTATAACTACTCCAACTCCGACGAAATCTTCATCCACCACCCCAATGATCTCAACTACTCTAGCATCTAAAACATCAACAATTAGCAGCCCGACTACAACAGCTACTTCACAGCCGTCCAAGACCACAACTCCTTCCACCACTACCACCACTACCACCGCCACCACAACCACTGTCGCGACATCCACAACTGTCAAGCCTGTGCAAGCAACTTCTTCTCCTACTACCAAGTCGTCGGTATCGCCCACTACTTCCGTATCCCCGGCAACTACAACCAAGCCACTGGCAACTGCAACGGTGACAACAGCCAGGTCAATAACAACTTCAGCAGTGACGGCGGTAAAGCCTACTGTAACTACAGCCGCACCACCACCGGGAACCACGACCATTGTGGCTAAAATTCAAACAACATCCATGCCGGCTAAACTACTGGCCCCATCTACCACACCGATTGTCGATCTGATACTGGAAGCAAATCGAAACAAAAAGATCGCCAATGACCAGAAGAAGAACGGTTCTAATTAATCGTAAAACTGATTTTGGCCGCTGCTCGAAACTAAAATATTAATTGCTCCAAAACGTATTTTATTATAATTATTATTATTATGACCCATTATCTACAGATTAAAAGTACAGCAATAATAATCTGTAATGTACATAATTTAGGGCGCATTACCGCTTTAGATATGGGATTTTATCAAATATTTATTTACTTAGATACAAGCAGAGTTGTTTTTTTTTTAGTTACACAAAGGCATGATAACACAACATGATATTTACGTATATTGTACAAATAATTGTACCATAGACCATGTCGTCGTCCAAATTGATATGGTTTTACTTAGGACATTTTTAAGTGTTATTAAAACAATGATAATAATACACATAATAACATAATAAGGTATCGAAATAAAAAAAAAACTTACTAATAATACATCTTCAAGTAGACAAACAGTTTTTGACATTGAGTGACAATCAATAGATTTGAGTTTCAGATGTTACCTTAATATTATAAACATTTATGCCGTTCTATTTTTATTTTCACGACAAAAGTATTATTACATTTCATAAAATGCTCAAAATAATATGTAATATATAAAATATATATTATATTATAGATATAATATGCCAAGTTTTAGAGACACATTTTGGTGCTTTTTGGCTAGTCAATTCGTTTTTCTGTTCAAAATATATCTTTTTGATTAGTATTTATAACAATCTAAACAAAGATCTAAATAAATAAAAATAGTTTAATTAGAAATAAATGAATAAAAGTAATATAAAAACATTTTTCTTTTATAAATTTCATGATTCGTTACTTTAGAATTGTCTACTAATATTGTAAAATAATAATAGAATTTTTCATATTTCAATAATATTGCACCCCATGGTAATTTTAACACAAATATTTCTAATGTAATATAATAATATACAACAATGTTAAATTAATTTTATTAATGCACGCGTATATTCCAATACACAATATAACGTATCCGTCAACAATAATACTACTTTAAGGTATTATTATTTCCAACTTTTATTGTTATGAAACTTAATAAAAATGTAAAATTATTTTTAATGTATGCATGTGGTGTATGTAGTCGGCCCGTAGTTAATCACTACATTATCAGTAAAAACATTTAAATTGTATTATTGTAATGCAAATTTGAATGACTAAAATAATATACCAAACTTTTAAATGTATCATAATATAATATAGTAATAATATTATTATATTAATTGTCACAACGAATACACTTATATTATTTTCCGTATCAACATTACAATTTATTTTTTTTTAATCTAAACAGTTTTAGACATTTAAACTATGTAATTGTATATTGTTTTCCATTAAAAATTGTATTATTTTATCTCAACACATAATGAATATATGTAGTGTGCTGTCGTTGGCTGTTACGACTTTTGTACTTATAATGTTGCAATAAAGTTGTAGTGATGCTCAGATTCTATAAGAGCATTGAGTATGTTGTATTACATAATAATAATTATTTTTCATTTATCTTATTATTAAATTATAAATACAATTTATCCATTTTCTCTCTTCACAACATCGATAGCGAAACAAAAGGTATAATAATTATCGTTGTACACGTGGCGCACAACAACATTAACAAAAACGCATACAAATAATAATGTTAGATCAATATTAAATAATTAAAACGTATAGTAATTGCAAGTGCGGCGTGTACGTTCATTTTCCAAGCAATATCTTTCTTGTAGCCCCGAAGTTCTGACCAGCTTGCGTGGCACCCTTGTTTTGGCCGGCTTGCAGTCCGATAACGCCCTCTCCGGCCCGCAATTGCATTTCAGTCCATTCACGCTTATTTTCCTCGGACGGCCTCGGTCCCAAAAATGGGCCTCTCCACTCTGGGTGTTTGTACGCCTAAAACCATTGATATTGGTATAAATGTCATATCCGGTCATCGTATTATTATATGTATTGTTGTTAATAATGTATTGACTAAACGTCCCCCATAGCCTTCCAAATGCCTCAACATTGTTAAAAAGAGACAGTCAATATCTGTACAAGTGTACACATTATAGAACTTAAATTGTATGCTAAATTTTTCTAAACATGTAGTTTTTTTTTTTTATGAAACATCCATCCATCTTTCACCGTAAATGGATAGAGAATGACTAAGATATATTATATCTTTTTCTAACAATGTTGTCTCCCAGGCATATCTATCTATCTTTATAAGTCTGTCGTTTCGTACCGTCCTGCCGATGGCAAATATCGTCATGGTCACTCTGTATATGTTTTTTTGTTCAAACAAGTCAACAGACTGGAACAGATCGACGTCTGGGACACCGTATTCAATGCAAGCTTTTTGAAACCTACAAAATACATACAACAAGTTTAATGGACATTATCGTTTATTACCGTACAATATATATAGGTATAATTATAAGTGTATTATAATAATCTAAAACATTCAACGCGAAATTATTATCCCCATGATATACCATACATAAAAGTTTTAGAACATATTATAATATTTATGACACTTATAGCCATTATGTTTTCAGTATTTTTTGATATACCATATTATCAATAAGTTTGTATAATGACCAAATAATAATTAGGTGTTATTTTTATAAATTTGTATTTAATTTAAAAAAAAAAAAAAATTAGCCTGATTTCCATATTTAATTATTAAATACTATATGTGCAAATAATAATATCACTTCCTACCCCTCACTTAAAATAAAAATGATGTTGTAATTTTGAAATGATTATTAAATACCTTTTCTTTTTTTTTTTTTTTTTTTTTTATTAAAATATATTTGCAATCTTTTATTTAAAACAATATATAAAATACCTACGCTATTATTATATTTATATTTACTGTTTTTAAGTGTAAATTTTGCAACAAAAGCACTAAAAACATTTAGTCAATAAACACAAATTCTTAGTTTGATAATCTAGCCTCGAAATATATTGACTATTGAAAAAGGATGATAACCTAAATAATTAATTCATTATTCAATTTTTAGCTGTTTTTAATAGTTTTTAATACTATTTGTCAAATTCTCAACATACGTATTTAATTTTCATGATTAATTTGATAATCCATCCCCCCTCAACTTCATAATTAGTTCACTAAAGTAGAAAACTTAAAATTGTGTCAATTTAAATAAATAATAATTATTATAATAGTTAAAAAAAAAAAAACACATATTTAAATTTAATTAATATATAATTATAACTATATTGTAACTTCGTCAAGCATAAAAATAATTTATCATCAATTTGATCGCAAGATGAATGAAAAAATTAAATCACAAAACTATAACACATTAAATAAATTATGAAAAGAATAATATTAAATTAAATTGCAGTATTAATATTAATATTAAAAATAGTTTTTGACAAATTTTCGAACGCTTGTAACAAAAAGTTAAGCAGAAATTATTATGATGTTTGTGTATATTATACTAAATAGTAAACAAAATACACCATTTTAAAAATCCTTGCCTTATAATATTCATATAAATTTATTTTAAATTTGTGTTTTTATTCAAACACATTATTAGTAAAAATAAACAGATCATTTTTAACATGCCGTTTAATATGTATGTTGGGGTGCTAAACAAAATTAAATTAAATATGGACATTTTTTGTTGATCCTACTATGAATAGAAAAATATTATTTATTCTGTGACCAATAGAAAATCATCTAGTAAGCGATATTATAATATTAGTAAACGTACTGGCTAATGTTGTCCATCATTTTATAATCGCCGCCTGAAGTGTTAATTTTGGGTATAATACCCGGTGCCAGTTTATTCATCAACTTGCATAACAAAACTCCATCCCTAAGTGCTAGTTCGAATGGTAAACCTATAAAAACGATCAAATACAAACAGGTTATATTTATCGAGTTCATTTGTTGCAGTATAAAATGTTTACCTGGTGCAAACTTTTCACCAGTCACTGCTTCAATCCATTGTTGAGCTTCCACTTCTTGCTCCAGGTCTCTTTTACCGGCAACCTAAAATCAAATAACCATAATATGAATCAATAAAACTTCAAATAATTTTTATGAGTAAAGATATACCTACGCATTTCTGTTACTATTTCATTAACTATTTTCTAAACTGGGATACATATTCATATTTTTACTGTGGTATGTAAAAGTATATCGAATATTATTATAATATTAAGCTTACAATGAATGCAATGGGTTTTTTTTTTTTTTTTTTTAGAAAAGATTAAAATGTAAATATTCCGTCTCAGTTAAAAACAAGTTGGTTTAGTAGAGGTTAGTATATTTACTACCATATAGAGATCTGATATTCTTAACGTATATGGTACAGATAAATAAAATACCACATCAAGGTTAGGTCCACCGACCGGACCTTAATAGTAGCTATCCACGTAAAATCAACGTCAATACAAATAAAAATATAATGTAATATCTATTCAATGTTAGTTACATCATATAGTGAATATAATTACATTATAATTTTAAAAATATAGTCTTTGTATAATTAAAAAACTATACATACTAATAAATTAAGAATATTTCCTGTATAAATTTAAAAACAAAATAAAAACATATAAATAAGAAATCTTTTAAAATGTTATATCTTAGTAGTTTCAAGTTGTTTAAAATGATTTTAAAAATCATTATATCATAAAAACGTCTATATAATATTAAATAAATAACTGATAAATTACTGGAAAATAATAAAAATATATTTTTTAAGCTATACCTTCAAGTTTAATTTGCAATTTTCTCGATCATTTTTATTTGTTTTATTATGATTATTATTATTTATAAAGTTGTACTGATCATTATGTTGTCTTCTAAACTTATTTATAAACAATAAATTATCGATTCATTTTTTTTTTTTTTTTTAAGTATTTTATAATTAATACGATTGTACATAACTATTAATGATTGAAATTAAATAGTTATGATTAATAGTACAAAAATATTTAAATATTTAAAAGAGCCTAAATATTTTTATAATATTAATTTAAAGAAATTAAAATGTTAAAGTATTTCTTATGTCTCATCTCAAAGGGTTAAAAGGTGTTAAAATAAATATAAATGTATGCATATATAGTATATCTATCATACTAAATAATGTTCACTTTAAAAGAAAATTAATAATTTATAATTCTACTAATACAATATTATAGTCTAATTAACACACTTGACAGTTTCTTGCGAAAATTATTGTCAGAGAAAATCAATTTAAAATAAGTTATATTTATTTCACTTGAGAAATCAGTAATTATTGTATGAAATTAATATAAATATATACCTAATATTCATAATAATAAAATTATATATGCTATAAAAAAAGTTTATTATTCTTTGTCTGATGTCTTATTAAACAATTTTCATATCAATGCGACTTGTGAATTTAAAATTGAAAATAATACATTTGACAATAATTGTATATCAGATTAACAAGTTTGTATATAGTTGTGTATGAGTAAATTAAGAAAATCGTTACATACAAAGTTTCATAAACAAATTTCATCTGACATTCAACTGTATTTAAATAAAAATAAAAAACCATAACGATGTTACAACATAATATTTTATATTACTTATACAGGATAAGTACCTAACAAAAAATAGCGTCAAAATGGTTTGATGGTAATTTCAAGTTATATTTTATGCGAATACGAATAAAATCGTTGAATTTTAAATTATACGTCGTTTCTTATTAAATATATATATTTAATGTTATTTATTCTTTTTATAGTAAATAGTTAC